TCAGGAAATTGAATGACATGATATTTTTCTTAAATAACAAATGAATGACATGATATTTTTGGAGAAAAAATATGTAGGGGATAAAAATTTAAATTTTTAGATATTTTATTATATAGATATATTCAGGAAATTATATGGAGTACAAATGATATGATATACAAAAATTCATAACATAAAACGAAGTGTATGATAAGTCGAATATTATGCAAATATATGTAGCCTATATTGCCAATTAAGCCATTGCTTGAGTTCAACTTGTTTGGTAAATGAATTTTAAGATTGATTCGAGTTTGATTCGTTTGATAGATGAACAAAATTAAACGATAGTATTTCTGAGCCAATAGCGAGTTGTTCATGAACAACTCAATTCAACTATTTATAGTTCATAAATTGAATCTTATCCCTTAAATATTTTTTTTCCAAAAATTCATATTACTCATTTCTATCACATGTTCAATTATTTTAATTTGATTAATTTATAGTTTAATATAATTTTTATTTCAAATATTATTCATATACGATAGTATGCATATGTTGAAAATTTTTTATCGAATTACTTATTTTGAAAATAAATTGTCAATATTTTAAAGAAAATAATGGATAAACATAAATTTTAAATGATGTAATCAAATAAATGAAGTAAAGAAAAATTATTATTTAATATAATGAGACATATTTTTTTGGGGGTTCAAATTTTATGTTTAATCGTGCCTTCAAGTACGAGTTATGACTAATCTATATAATAAGGGAGCTAAGTATTTGAATTTTATCTCCACANTAATTCAAACATCTGAAACAATATATCAGTTATCAATATTCAATTTTTTGTTTTTGATTCAATATCCACGATTTTAACATTCATAATCAATTTTATCTAAATAATAATAGAATTCATAANACTAGTCGTAATCCGTGTCTGAAGATATGATAAAATATAAAATTTTAATATCCAAAAAATCGATCTCACTATATTAAATAACAATTTTTTCTTAATAAAAATTATGTTAAACAACAAATTATTCAAATACGAAATGATTGAGTACGTGATACAAATGAATGACATGATATTTTTGGAGAAAAAATATGTAGGGGATAAAAATTTAAATTTTTAGATATTTTATTATATAGATATATTCAGGAAATTATATGGAGTACAAATGATATGATATACAAAAATTCATAACATAAAACGAAGTGTATGATAAGTCGAATATTATGCAAATATATGTAGCCTATATTGCCAATTAAGCCATTGCTTGAGTTCAACTTGTTTGGTAAATGAATTTTAAGATTGATTCGAGTTTGATTCGTTTGATAGATGAACAAAATTAAACGATAGTATTTCTGAGCCAATAGCGAGTTGTTCATGAACAACTCAATTCAACTATTTATAGTTCATAAATTGAATCTTATCCCTTAAATATTTTTTTTCCAAAAATTCATATTACTCATTTCTATCACATGTTCAATTATTTTAATTTGATTAATTTATAGTTTAATATAATTTTTATTTCAAATATTATTCATATACGATAGTATGCATATGTTGAAAATTTTTTATCGAATTACTTATTTTGAAAATAAATTGTCAATATTTTAAAGAAAATAATGGATAAACATAAATTTTAAATGATGTAATCAAATAAATGAAGTAAAGAAAAATTATTATTTAATATAATGAGACAGATTTTTTTGGGGGTTCAAATTTTATGTTTAATCGTGCCTTCAAGTACGAGTTATGACTAATCTATATAATAAGGGAGCTAAGTATTTGAATTTTATCTCCACATATTTTTTTTGCTCATTTCTATCACATCATTCATTTTATTTTTGACTAATTTATGGCACAATACAAATTTTATTTCGAACATTATTCATACATGATAGTGTACATATGCTGATATTTTTTTGAGGTCATGTGTTTTGATGTTGATTTTTATTTTAAAAAATAATTGGTAGTAATTAATTTTAAATTTTGTAATTATAGAAAGGGAAGAAAAGAAATTACTATTTGATATACTGTGACCGATTTTTTCCAAACTCGAATTATATGTTGAGTGTGTCTTTAGAAACGGGTTAATTTGGTCATACATGGTAAAACAAGCCATTGAACAAGGTTAATTTGTCTATTAAACGATTTTAAGATTGAGCTCCAATTTAATTTATTTGATAAATGAACGAATTTAAATGATATCTGAGCCAAGACTAAATTGTTCAACTCAATTCAACTATATGCATATATGGATGTGAGATTAATTGTTATTCTCAAGATGATTATTCCTATTTTAGTAAAAAATACATTTTAAAAACGTGATAATTGTGCTTACACAAAGGAGACAAGGGTTAATATGAATTCTTTTGTTATTCATACAATAATTTTTGATGAAAAAGAGATTTTTTTATTATAACGGGAGATTGTGCACACATGGTACTTGTACGTAGTGATAGAAAAGAGAAAAAAGTAGGAATATATGAAAATGAATAAATTTAGTTGTTTTGAAAGTTATGGGTGATTAAGTATATTTAACTATAATTAAAAAGAAAAATGAAACGTATTATAGATATATTAGCAATTACCCGTGCCTGAAGACACAGTGTTACTCGTAAATTAGTTACAAATATTTGTTCATACATAAATATAAAATAAAATACAACATTATAGTAAACGACAAAAAAATGAGTTCGCTAATATTTTTTACAACATATATTTTCACATTAAATTGTTACGCCACGAAAATTATGTTATAACTACTGAAATATAATAATTCAAACATCTGAAACAATATATCAGTTATCAATATTCAATTTTTTGTTTTTGATTCAATATCCACGATTTTAACATTCATAATCAATTTTATCTAAATAATAATAGAATTCATAACTAATAGAATAAAAATTAAAACAATACTCCCACAAATAAACTAAGTCTACAGATGTTGTCAAATAACCAAATATAATTATTAGAAATTCAACCGACTTCCAAAATACGACCTGACTATTGAATTTGTATGATTCAAGTCTATAGTAGTACTTTTAATTTTATATTATTTTTTTCAATTATTTATATTCTTAGTATATTTCTTTAAACTAAACGTTATTTAGTATTGAATTATTTAGTGAAAATTGTTATTTCGTGTTGTTTATTAAATATTGAATTTGTATAATTCGTATTTATAGTATTGTTTATAATTTTGTATCGTTTCTCGTGTTTGTAATTTTGTATCATTTTTTTCGGGTATTTAGATTTGAATTATTTAGTAAATATTGTTACTTTGTGTTGTGCATTAAATATTGAATTTGTATGATTCGTTGTTGTATATGAATTTAATCTTGTATATTGTAAATGTTAAGCATATTTTTTTTAATATATCTCTTGATATCTAAGTTGTCCCATAACTTGAATTTAATTTTATATATTTTGCATGTTAAATATATTTTTTTTTTAAATTAGATTTTTTTTAAGTTATGTTTTTTTTATTGATTATGAAAAAAATAAAATTGACTATTGAATTTGTATAATTTGAGTTTAAAGTAATGTTTTTAATTTTATATCATTATTCTCGGTTATTTTTATTCTTAGTATATTTTCTTAAACTAAACGTTATTTAATATTAGATTATTTAATATAGATTGTTGTTTCGTATTGTTCACTAAATATTGAATTTGTATGGTTCGTGTTCATAATATTGCTTATAATTTTATATTATTTTTCTCGCTTGTAATTTTGTATTATTTTTCTAGGGTATTTAGATTTAGATTATTTAGTAAATATTATTGATTTGTGTTGTTCACTAAATATTAAATTTATATGATTCGTGTTTGTATATAAATTTAATCTTATATATTTAAATGTTAAACATATTTTCTTTAATATATCTATTGATATCTGAGTTGCTCAATAACTTGAAATTAATCTTGTATATTTTACATGTTAAACATATTTTTTTTATTAAATTAGATTTTTTACAAGTTATACTTTTTTTTTTTATTGATTATGGAAAAAAAATTGATTATTGAATTTGTATGATTCGTTTTTGTAGTATTGCTTGAATGAAAGAGAGAGATACAAAAGAATATTTTCGTGATATATACTATCTATTTAATATTTATTACATAATTTTCTTTTAGAGAGAGACACAGATGAATATTTTCGTAATATATTATCTCTCTCTGTGATATATATCATCTATCTACAGAAGGATGTAGTATTTGCTTGAATTATACACGATCAAATATTTTTGTGAGATACAGAAGAAAATATTGTGAAAAATTAATATTTTTTACGTGAATTGAGCGTGAGAAAGAGAGAGAGATATAGAGGAATATGAGAGAGAGATTTACTTAATTTAAGGAAAAAATTTGAAAAAATTAAATTTTGGAATATCAATTTTAGAAATTATAAATTTTGAGTAACAAAAGTATTTCAAAAGAGTTAATGTGGTACATCAGATCAAAACGATTTGAGACGTCAATAGTTTGACATAACGTCGTTTATTAGATAATAATTTTTTTGGTCATAAAACGATTTAGATCACTCTTTGTCTCCAAAATTCAAATTCGTTTTACTTTATTATATAGATTTTGTGGGTGGACCAAACCCATGTCTTGTATAATTCTGGAAAAATGAGGGGGGTGATTGTGTTTTTTTCCATCCAAAAGCTTATAAAAAAACATGGAAGGGAAAGCAAGGGAAATCTCCGGAAGATGACCGTTGAGTGCGATCCAGCTACATTGCCATGTCAGCACTTACAAGACTCCTCGTAGATCGCGATCTTGTACAGTAGCGTTCAAACACACAAATACACACTCTCTCACGCGCAAAGTTCGAAATTGAACAGAGATACAACCAGACAGAGCTTTGAATACCTGACTCTTAAAGCTCACCCGTCGGATCTCTGACATATTTTGATCTTTTACTGTAAAGATAATAAATCTAAAAAATCCCCCCTCAGTCCCACCTGTCCACAGTCTCTCTCTCTCCCTGCCCCTGCCCCTGCCCCTGCCCCTTCATCTTCCTCAAAAGGAGCCCTCCTATTTCTGTCTCTTTTTTTGCTTCCTCGTCACTCTATAGCTCCCTTGATTTCTTTTCTGGGTTTCTTTGGAATTTTACAGTACTGGGTCTGAATGGTTTTGGTGTGAAAAAAATCAATGGGTGTACTACTGCTGCTTCTTTTGGTGGTTTCTGCTGTTTCTGCCGATGAAGGTGAGCCCTTTACTTTCCTCCATTCCTCCCTTTACCTGTTTATATTTGTTTCTCTCAATGGGTTTGATTGAAAACCTCCCTAGAGTTTCATTTTGTAATCAAGATTGGCTTTTTCCTTATGACAATTTATTGGTATATTTTCTGTTTTGAAATTATTCCTATTGCTCTGTCGTCCTTTGAATGCCCCTGATTGTTTCTCTTGTTTCTCTTGTTTCTTTCTTTTCATAGCTTGATTTTTTTCTTCATGGGCTTGTCTCATTTCTGGTTTGGGTATTTTATATCCTACTTCAAACTGAGCTGTTCTTTGTGATTGTTCTGTCAAAGTGTAGATATATTTTTTATTAGTAGTTTCTGTTAATTCTCCCTTATTAATGAATCTTTTCTTCAAGCAATCTTGCTCATTGCTCTGTTTGGGACTTGATTGTGTTTTTTCAGCAAAACTCATATTGCTGGGACTGTTGGGTAAAGTTCAGTAGAAAGCTTCTAGGAGTAAAATTAGTGGGCTAAAGCAGATTGGTATAGGCTATACATTTTGAAGTCAATCTTTCATTATTAGGCGTGTTTCTGTTTACATTGCAAATGAGGGTAGTTCTAGAAAATCTTTCATTTACTTCTATGTACTTGCAAAGCAGGGGCCCCTGTAGTAAATTTATTTTTCCTATTGTTGAAATCAATCCAATCTGTTCCAACCATTCATGAAAACAAACTTTTTGCGATCCAGCTTATGTGGCTTTCCTTTCAGTTAATTAAACTTCCATTGTCCCCTTTGGAGAGTTTAGGTTAGGATATATAAGAACACAAAAAACTTGATTAATGCATTAACAATACCAAGACCATTAATAGATAGTGGCGTTTTGGACATATTGGTTTAAAGTAAGCCCTCAAAAATGGCTTAAGTTTCTTGTCAGTGTCTTAAAATTTTTGACCTTTGATGCTTACAAAAGGGTATTGTGGGGTGGAATATACTACATGGAGTTTAGGAGTATCAGCTACATACAGCAGCACACATGGCACATTTTCTAAATGAAGGAAACATATTAAGTTTATCATGGACCAATGTAAGACCCATATGTTTGGTTGGATTGTGTAAATATTAAATTCTAATTGAGTTCTTGCTATACTGCCCATTTGCTGGATAGTCCAGGAAGTCCTACATCTGGAGACTTGTATCATTATGGCCGAGATTCCCTACATGCTCCTGTTCTTTTGATTGTCTGTTCCCACTTTAGCTGCCTCAAATGCTCATCAAGCTTTTTGGTTGTATCGTTATGTGTTTCTTTGACAGCAGAAGAAATTAAATTCTAATTGAGTTCTTGCAATACTGCCCATTTCCTGGATAGTCCAGAAGGTCCTACATCTGGAGACTTGTATCATTATGGCCCAGATTCCCTACATGCTACTGTTTGTTTGATTGTCTGTTCCCACTTTAGCTGCCTCAAATGCTCATCACAGCTTTTTGGTTGTATCATTATGTGTGTCTTTGACAGCAGAAGAATAATAACAATATTTCTCAGCTTAAGAAATATGAATTATTGTCCTCTATCTGACTTACATCAGAAGAAGAGGAGATAATTCCTGAATCTGTTTGTATCCATGTTGTCATCTATGGTAGAAATAATCCAATGGCAAAGCAGTCTGTACTGGGGGAGTCTCATGCATTGGGCAAAACTGTTAACTACACTTCCTTGAATTATTGTGATACGACTTATTTTTTAAAATTGTAGTGGCTAAAATGCAACAGGGTTACAGGGGTATTTTAGCTCACAATCTGGTGTCCTTATCTGTATCTCCATTATTGTTTTTTCTCAACGTGGGAATATGCTTATCCCTGTTCAAGTTCAGCTACATTTGGTCCAATTGGGCTGTGAAACTGAAGTTGGTCAGATTAAGTTGTGTTCCTGCCCAAAGGTCTTATTGTGAAACCCCCTAAAATAGTAAATATGTGTGAGGTGGTGATGAACTAAATCGGCAGGTCTTCTTAAGCATGTTTCCTTATGCTTGTTGCTTATCTAGATTCTAGTAGATTCAAAAGACACTTTTTGATGGGTCCTATGTAGCTAGTTGATGATCATTTTCCTCTCATGTATAGTTTTCTAGGTGTTTCAAAGGTGATGTGAAATGTTTCTTGATTGAATTCACATATGTCCACCTTATATGCTTTTGTTTAACACGATCAAGTTCATATGGCTGCATACTTGGTGCCAATATGATCTGTTTTTCCCTAATTATGTACTTCTCAAAACTAAAACCATACTTTCCTTTGCTGCAGATGCTTTCATTGGTGTGAACATAGGCACAGATCTCTCTGACATGCCAAGCCCAACTCAAGTTGTAGCCCTTCTAAAGGCTCAGCAAATTCGGCATGTCAGGCTCTATGATTCTGACCGAGCCATGCTACTTGCACTTGCCAATACTGGAATCCGCGTGACTGTATCTGTTCCCAATGACCAACTACTAGGCATTGGCCAGTCCAATGCCACTGCAGCCAACTGGGTATCTCACAATGTTTTGGCGCATGTCCCTGTGACCAACATCACAGCCATAGCTGTTGGATCTGAAGTGCTTACCACCCTTCCAAATGCTGCTCCAATCTTAGTCTCCGCCATGAAATTCATCTACTCTGCCCTTGTTGCTTCTAATCTGGATTCCCAAATCAAAGTCTCCTCCCCACACTCCTCTTCCATTCTCCTCGACTCATTTCCCCCGTCCCAAGCCTTTTTTAACCGCTCCTGGGATCCAGTCATGGTTCCCTTGCTCAAATTTTTACAGTCCACAGGGTCCTTTCTTATGCTCAATGCTTACCCCTATTATGATTACATGCAATCAAATGGTGTGATCCCCTTGGACTATGCTCTCTTTCGTCCTCTCCCTCCGAACAAGGAAGCTGTTGATGCTAACACATTACTGCATTACACTAATGTCTTTGATGCGGTTGTTGATGCAGCTTATTTTGCAATGTCCTATCTAAACTTCACTAATATTCCCATAATAGTGACTGAATCAGGATGGCCAGGGAAAGGTGACTCCTCTGAGCCGGATGCCACTCTCGATAATGCCAACACTTACAACAGTAACCTAATCAGACATGTTCTTAACAAAACGGGGACTCCCAAACACCCAGGGATTGCGGTTAGTACTTACATATACGAACTTTATAATGAAGATCTGAGACCTGGGTCAGTTTCGGAGAAGAACTGGGGGCTTTTTGATGCCAATGGGGTGCCAATTTATATCCTCCACTTGACGGGTTCTGGGACTGTGTTGTCAAATGACACCACGAACCAAACCTACTGTGTCGCAAAGGAAGGTGCTGACAGCAAGATGCTGCAAGCAGCCTTGGATTGGGCTTGTGGATCTGGGAAAGTGGATTGCTCTCCTTTGTTGCAGGGGAAACCATGTTATGAACCAGATACTGTGGTTGCCCATGCAACATATGCTTTCGATGCATATTATCACTGGATGGCAATGGCTGATGGGACTTGTGATTTCAATGGGGTGGCGACTGTCACTACAACAGACCCAAGTATGGAGTTATGACATGTTTCTTTGTGCAAGCACATAATACATCTACCAAGTCTGAATTATTTTGTCACCATGACAATGCATATATCTTTGTGCGAAGAGTGTATTCCAAGGGATAGCTACTTAATGTTCTCTGTCAATACAAGCCATATAGCTCACAGAAGATCATGTTCACTAAGTGGTGACATGATGTTTTAAATATGACAGAGAGCTATTGGAGCTATTGGTTTGTCGATGTAACGGCTGGTGTTCACCAAGTAGCCCAATCACATAATGCTACTTGTATAAAGAGGCAATTAAATTGATTAAATAGGAATGAGGAATTTAATCATTGAACATTTTGAAAAAAAGCTTGATATTTTCAGCATTCTAACTACAATGGTGTTTGTTCTTACTTTGTTGCTTTCAATTTGTTTGGCATTACTGTGATGTCTTACCTTTGTTCCATCGTGCAGGTCATGGTCCTTGTATATATCCAGGAAGGTAAGATTCAATAAGTTTTTCAATTTGTTGTTTGCTTATTATATAGAATTTTGTTTGCCTGAATTTTCTTACTTTCTCTAATCCGTTATGATAATATTCATTTGTGATATTCCTGAATTCCAACCAAGCTCTTCAGAACAATAGAAGCATGAGGGCTGTTGACAGTCTGCTGATTTTTGGCCTTGTTTGATTTGTTTTCTTTCTGTTAGTGGTGGGAGAAACACTACATTCATAAATGGTACGTCGCTTGCTCCATCAACAAATTCTACAGCATCTGGCTGCCATTCACAATATTTTAATGGCGGCCATGCTTTTATGGGATCTGCAATAGTTGGTGTTCTACTCTGGAGTGCAGTTTTCTTGTAAAAGGGTACGAATCTCAATTTGTGCAACTTTTTAACTACTCATATCCTTTGAATTTTAGTCTTTTGCTTTCTGTATAACCACCAACCACCATGCCCGGTTTTGTTCCTCTGAGGAGGGTAAGGGGTGGCAACAGGTTGTTTGAACATATAGGCGGGTGGTAGTGAGGTGAGTGACCCATTGATTTGTACAAACAAGCCGAAGTGCTTATTCGGAATTATTGGGGTAGTTATCTTGTTTTTTTCTTTTTTTTCGGTTATCTTGTTGGGTGTAGAGTCTGTTCTCTAAAGCGTGTATTCTTTGAATGAACTGGATTTGCAATGCCTATGCATAGTGTAATCTTCATTTGTCTCAGATGTTCGCAAACTCTCTCTCTCTCTCTCAAAGGTCTATTGGGAAAAGTGATTTTCGAGTAAAATCTTACAATTTCTCCATTGTAAACTTCATCATGGGTGGTCTTAGATATCAGACTCTTTGTCTGAAGTGGTAAAAATTCTCATCTCTTGTTTGACTTTGTCTTCTTTTGTTTAGATTTTGTTCTCTACTCTACAACTTGCAGCCAAAATGGTATGGTTGATGACTATTGTAAGATGGTTTCTCTGGTGCCTTGATGGGTCCTAGTTCTGTGATCCTATCGATAAGGTCACATGTTAGAGCCCATTATGGTGAAAAACCTTAATGGAAAAATAGAAAGTTGCTTCAAAGAAAAAAAAAAAAGCAAAGGAAAATGACACCCTAGTAGTAACATCTGAATTGCAAGTGACCACTGATAATTCTGGTTTGCCATACCCCTGCTACATGCAGAACAGATGCCTCTGAGAACTGAAAACATAAGTCTTTACATTTTACAACATTTGATTCTCTCTCTCTCTCTCTCTCTCTCTCATGATATATATATATATATATATATATATATATATTGTGAGTTTTCGATGTATTTTGAATGGCAAGCATCACATACAAATCCTGAAGAGCCTGGAACACTGCACTTCTGATTGGCATGTTGGTTACAATAAGGCCTGTTACAGAAATTACATTTGGGAAGCTGAAGCCAACAACCTGAACACAAGTTATCTGTACAAGCTGCCTCTTCCCAATCATCCGACTCGATGCATTGACCACATTCTTCACACCTTGGAATGCAGAAGCAGCATCCCCTACACTCTCTTCGCAGGTTCTGCCTCTGTCTTTCACAACGATCCATAGGGCAGTCAAAAACCATTCTTACTTCATTGCATTTTGGGCATATATCCACATCTATAGAACATTTATCTTCTTCATGGCCAAAAGTTGAAGTTGAGAAAGTGTTATGCTTGTGATATAAGTTGCGCCGCTTTTCTTGCTGTTGCTGTGTTTGCTTCAATCCGATGAGGGATCGAAGCGTTTCGAGTTGATCTTTCTTCATGTTGTGGATGCCATTAATCTTTAGTCTTATTGAGTGAAGGATCTGGTGGTTGTGTTTGGTTAGTGCCTCTACTGCTCTAATGATTCCCTCAGGGGTCAAGCTGGTGCATGCTGGAAAATAGAGCTGAAAAAGCATGGAAAACATATATAAGACTTAACTAAATCCAACTGTCAGTAGACAAAAATAAAGAATGACATTGTGTACGAGGTTTTCATCACTATAAGGTTTAGGGGAAGTTAGATATGTACGTAGTCTTACATTGCATGTACAAATTGTTTCTGCGATTGAAACTCTTGACACGCATTTGAAATGGAGCAACCTATCACTAATCAGTTTCGGTGTTCTTTGATAATACTAGTTGGAAGAGAGACAAAATCATCAACAGGAACCAGAACTATGTTCAATTTGAAATTAGTTGACCAGGCTTCCTACCTAGTTGGCTGCGTCACCTTCTATGATATACAATTCTATTGCATATTTACCATCTATAAGAGATACAGGATAATTTACCAATTTGCAATAACAATTTAGAGCAGAAGGTATTGTATTTGAATTTCACCGTCACCATAATTATTAAAAAAAAATTTGCGTGCAATGGTTAAAATTTAGCTTGTCCGTTAGGGGACGTGTTGAAGTATAAATATTTAAGTTACTCTATTTAAGAGCTTAAGCTTTTGGAGATTGGAGAAGATTGTTATTTAATACCATTGCTAACAAATTTATGTAGTTCAACATAAACCCATGAAGAACAGTTTATTTCTTAGAAATCAAGTTCAAGAAATTTGTGGATGAGACAGACTCAACTAGGTTTGTATTCTGGAATAAAATGAAAAAGAAAAAGAGTCATATCAACAATTCACAATAAAATCCCCACTACCTATCACATCTTATCCATACCCACCCTAAAAAGGCCAAAATAAATGGTTCTTCAATAAACCAGTCAAATCTTATCCATCCCAATTCCAATTGGATCAATTGATTCAGATTCAGATGAAAATCCGACCTATTAACACATCTATGACTAATTATAGATTACTAAACCTATGCAACTAGGAGAAGAGCAACAATCTAAAAACCTTGCATGAAGANCAGATTCAGATGAAAATCCGACCTATTAACACATCTATGACTAATTATAGGTTACTAAACCTATGCAACTAGGAGAAGAGCAACAATCTAAAAACCTTGCATGAAGATCAATTTCAGATGGTACATAAAATTCATCCAGAGTGAAAGAATTTCCATACCTTGTTAATCAGAGGATTTTTCGATATGACCCGTTGAAGACCCTCATCTGTAATCTTCTCACAGTTGATCAAAGCCAAAGTTGTCAGCTTACCGTTTGCCTTGGAAGCAAATTTCATTAGTATATCATCAGAAAGCCTCTGGCTCAAAGGCTTGTAAACAGTGATATTAATCCATGGTAGTATATCATTGCTTAGAGCATCTCTCACTGACCTACAAACTTGGCTCATGGCAAGTAGTTCAAGCAGAGGAAGGTAAGCTAAGACAAAGAACATAGCTTCATGGGGTGGGCCAAACTGTAAATAATCATCATCAGGGACACTGTTTTCTTTATTCTCTGGAGCATATGGAATTTCCATATCCAAAGTTTCATGAAATGATTATAGTGAAGGATAGAGTTTTTGTCTCCAAAATTTGATAAAATTGTGTTCAAACCCAGAAAGATTTGAAGGAAGATAGATGCATAAGAATGAGATGGAGAGGGGGAGATGGTGTGGATCAAAATAAAGGAAGTTATGTGATATTTGTTGGTTGGGAAAGGAAAGAAGAGGTTTCACACACTTTAAATTGGACTGATTTAGCCCATAATGTAACGCCCGTTAAGATGATCCGATCCGAAATTAGGAGGTTTAAATTTTTCTTAAGTCACTTGTTTATTAAATAAGTGGACTCGAGCCGACATAATTAATAAATAAATTGAATATAAATAAAATTAATTTAAAAAAATATACGACATAATTTATTTATACATGGCACAAATTCGATACGTTTAAGTTATTAGGACAACTTTAGCTTTGACCCTAGATCAAAATTCTTCTCTAATGCTCTACCCTTTTTTTTTTTTCAACAATAAAATAAAGTAAAGTTAATTTTTTAACAAATATACATTTTTTCCGCAAATAATTATTAATTATTAATTTTCTTTACATTGCCTCATTAAAGCCGCCACAAAAAAAAAATCTAGTATTTTAAAAATTACTTATTTAAGAAAATCTTTCTAGATATTAAAATAATGACCCTTATTTTCACAAATAGGAAATAAATAAAAATCTATCCACCAGGTGCCCTCCCTGAACCGATCAGGATGCAACCAGAAACCAACTAGGTTGTATGCGTCCTGAGCAAACCCCAACCTTAGAATAAAATGCCACAACTTCCCAGAATTTCACATGGTAAATTAATTTGAATGGATTGCAACCCATTAGAAGACAACTAGCTTAGCTTTTTTTTTTTTTTTTGGATAAAATAGTCAAGGTGTTCGAATTAGTTTATGCGTATCCTAACTAATCTTCTCTCCGGTTCAGTTAAGATTGATTATTCACGTTGAAACTAGGGTATTCATGAGGGATAAATCTCTTGTAGCCTAACCCAAGAGATTATGAAAATTCAAACTTAGGATGTTTACTACTTGAGCTATACTTAGGGTTTACAACTGCCTCTGCTTTATGCCATCAGAATATGATCTTTGATAACGTCAATCACAAGGATAGAAAATTTTATTTAGGTGCATATTGTTTCGGTCAGATTGAAATTAGAAACATTTTGAAAAACAAAATCAAAACAAAAGAATTTTTTTTATATTTGATTACAATATTTTGAAATATTAATTGAAACATACCGAAACATATAAAAAGCATAGAGACATGAATGTTTCGGGACATTTTGACTGTTTTTATCCTTGGACAGTCATTAAATACAACATAGTCAACCAAAGTAAATGACACATACAATTTTTCTTTGTTTTTAACCTTTCTTCTTCCAACTATGGATCATGTAAATTTTACATATAAATCCAACATTCCGAAACTTATAATTTTGGAAACCACAGTGCATAGAAAACAACTCTGTGGAGTCAATGATCCAAAGGCTCAACAGCAGTCCTGAAGAGAAGAACGTAGACCTTATCAATCGAAAAATACAAAAAACCTCCCAGGGAATGTGTGACATATGAGCCGAAGCTTGTCCCTACGATGCAATGCCAAGCAGGACCATAGGATGAGTCAAATTCCTGTAAAAAGCCAAGGGACATCGTTGCAAATAAAAACTCCATAGGTGATACAAAGAATAGGGTTCAGATTATAAGCCTAGAGAATCCCAAAAANATGATGAGTCAAATTCCTGTAAAAAGCCAAGGGACATCGTTGCAAATAAAAAATCCATAGGTGATACAAAGAATAGGGTTCAGATTATAAGCCTAGAGAATCCCAAAAAGAAACTGTTCTGCAACAGAAGAACAAAGGAAAATGGCAGCAATGGCAAATCTCTTGCACTTCTGATTAATGTTCAAATCAGTGCTAGCAAGGTCAGAGCGTTCTGATAAGAGAAGAGGGTACGTAAACCACTGTTGTCTCGAAAAAGTCATGTAATCACGGATAATGAATGAGGTTGGATCAAGTAATATCGGGATCTGTGGACATCATCAATTCTACCACTGCTTTAGTGTTTCTATCGCCATTTTATGACCATGGACGATGGATATTGGAGTAGTTTATCGATCATTTGTTTGCATAATTGCTCATCAAAGATAGGATAGAACTCAACTCTCTCTCTCACACATACATGCATACAGGGAGAATTGTTAAAATGATGGGCATCAGGAACTCAATTCAAGAGGGATGGAAGACGCACCACAAAGAGGGATGAATATCATCGGGCGGTTGAGGCTATAGAAAGGTTTTGATCATAAGTTTAATAGACATACTCAACAGGCAGCTGGGATATATAAGACAGACAAACATGTTTAACAACGAAGACATCTTATCGCTAAAAGGAATCAAATCCATGCTCTTACAAGATTTGGAATAAGTTGATACCCCAATAACATGGAAAAGCAATAAAAAAAATCTATATAAAAAATGTTCATTTCTCAATAGCAGTTGTATCAATTCTACTGTCTAAAATTTAAACTCCAACATGTTCGATATTACAGGACACTACCAACTTTAGAATTTCTATGATCAGAACAATATGAGTATTGAATGGCATTTGACTCTCTGATTTCCACAACCTTCATTAATAAGGAGATAAACATTAAATCACCTATTTCAACAAAGTCTGATTGCAACCTTACTTAGAGTTGGGTTTGTCCTGTCCGAAGATTATCTCATACCAAGCAGTAAAGGACCACAACCAAGAAACCTCACTACCTGAATAAAAGATGAAGATTTAAGTATCCTCCGGCTAGTTTCTCGTGACTCTTTCCTATGACTAAGCTCTTGCTTGTAACTATGTAATAGATTACCCTGCCTCCGGCATGAGCAAAGCAAGAGGTGAGCTAAAGTTGGTAACAAATAATCTAATAGGTAGGGCTCATATTTAAAGTTTAGACCTAAATTAAGATCTGTTGGAAAAATAAAAGCTTTAAAATTTTCATTTATTTTGTTTTATGAGTTTTTATTGGATCACTTTTAATTTAGGATTTAATGGGATTTTTATATGATTTAAATGAGTACGATTTATGATTTGATCAGAGTTAGATCCACCTCAACCTTCCAATAGACGTGACCTATGAGGAGATGCTGTTGTGAGTATATCTGAATTAGATCTTGGAGTTGTAAATGTCAATTAGTACCTTCACGTTAATTAATAATTAATAAATTTAAAATCATGCTATTTTCTCCGACAGGATGAACTTTCTTGTTTTGCCTTCAAGNAGATCTTGGAGTTGTAAATGTCAGTTAGTACCTTCACGTTAATTAATAATTAATAAATTTAAAATCATGCTATTTTCTCCGACAAGATGAACTTTCTTGTTTTGCCTTCAAGTTGAGATATGGGGAAATTACTCAACTAGTAATGAGATCTGATGAGGATTTACTTCTAAAGAATAACTACGAAGGATCTCGTCTCTTATAAGGCGTCAGACTGATGGTGAAGTGAATATTACAAGTTTACAATCAGGGTAATGTTATATTTATTAAATTTTTTTATTAAATCTTTATACCAAATGGTGTGACACAATTTTTTTTATCAGATAAGTAAGTTTTATTAATATATAATTATAGAGATTGTGTCACGTTATTTACAATGCAATATTTGATAAAATTTTATGACAAGAACACCATTTTTCTTACTAGTACAATAATAATTACTTTTCCTCAACCTAACGCTAGAACTTGATTGGCCACCTCATTAGAACCCTACACCTTTGTCCTAAACAATAATAATAAACAATCATTAAAAAACTTATTGTCCGAGACTAAAAAGTAAAAACTAAAGCTAAGGAAGATTAAAAAAAAAACAAATCAAAAAAGTACTTCAATATTGTCTGTCACTAAAGAACAATTGTACCCGCTGGGTATACATTTTACTCCATGTGTTTTGCTTTACAGCAAACATAAGAACCGAAAGAAAAAAAACGAAAAAAAGAAGCAAAGCAAAACTCAAACATTCTCGGGCTTAAAAACGGAGGAACGAAAACCAAGAAAATAAAGGGTAAAAGGACATTACTGCACACCACCACCACCTGTTAATGTAGGGGAACTCTACTGTANCTGAAAGAAAAAAAACGAAAAAAAGAAGCAAAGCAAAACTCAAACATTCTTGGGCTTAAAAACGGAGGAACAAAAACCAAGAAAATAAAGGGTAAAAGGACATTACTGCACACCACCACCACCACCTGTTAATGTAGGGGAACTCTACTGTACCATCACTTTCTGTGTTAAAATTACAAAGTTATAAATTATATTTAAAAAAAATTATATTTTTTAATACGGCCGATTATATTATAGTTTTTTCGTAAATGTAAAAAATACCCTACATAGTACNATCTGAATTAGATCTTGGAGTTGTAAATGTCAATTAGTACCTTCACGTTAATTAATAATTAATAAATTTAAAATCATGCTATTTTCTCCGACAGGATGAACTTTCTTGTTTTGCCTTCAAGTTGAGATATGGGGAAATTACTCAACTAGTAATGAGATCTGATGAGGATTTACTTCTAAAGAATAACTACGAAGGATCTCGTCTCTTATAAGGCGTCAGACTGATGGTGAAGTGAATATTACAAGTTTACAATCAGGGTAATGTTATATTTATTAAATTTTTTTATTAAATCTTTATACCAAATGGTGTGACACAATTTTTTTTATCAGATAAGTAAGTTTTATTAATATATAATTATAGAGATTGTGTCACGTTATTTACAATGCAATATTTGATAAAATTTTATGACAAGAACACCATTTTTCTTACTAGTACAATAATAATTACTTTTCCTCAACCTAACGCTAGAACTTGATTGGCCACCTCATTAGAACCCTACACCTTTGTCCTAAACAATAATAATAAACAATCATTAAAAAACTTATTGTCCGAGACTAAAAAGTAAAAACTAAAGCTAAGGAAGATTTAAAAAAAAAAAAATCAAAAAAGTACTTCAATATTGTCTGTCACTAAAGAACAATTGTACCCGCTGGGTATACATTTTACTCCATGTGTTTTGCTTTACAGCAAACATAAGAACCGAAAGAAAAAAAACGAAAAAAAGAAGCAAAGCAAAACTCAAACATTCTCGGGCTTAAAAACGGAGGAACGAAAACCAAGAAAATAAAGGGTAAAAGGACATTACTGCACACCACCACCACCTGTTAATGTAGGGGAACTCTACTGTACCATCACTTTCTGTGTTAAAATTACAAAGTTATAAATTATATTTAAAAAAAATTATATTTTTTAATACGGCCGATTATATTATAGTTTTTTCGTAAATGTAAAAAATACCCTACATAGTACACTGTAAATAACAAATAAGAATTCTAAACTTTTATTAAAAAAATTCCACTAAAAATTCCAATAAAAAGATTCATTTATTAAAAAAAGTTATCCTCTCAATCTGACTCTCTTNAATTTTTAATATGATATCGCCGATTATATTATAATTTTTTCGTAAATGTAAAAAATACCCTACATAGTACACCGTAAATAACAAATAAGAATTCTAAACTTTTATTAAAAAAATTCCACTAAAAATTCCAATAAAAAGATTCATTTATTAAAAAAAATTATCCTCTCAATCTGACTCTCTTACTATTTGGATCAACTATAGACAAGTTTCCTCAATACCCTTTACTCTAGAGATATTCATAATCAACAAGCCAGACATAACATCGATGTTTCAAAGAAAACACAAAGATCATAACATAAGAAGATAAACTTAAAACAGTAAAGTTGTATGTAATGTAACTACCTTCTTGAGGGTAACAGCTAAACGTTTGTTGTCAATCTTCCCAGTCATGGAGTCAAGGTTGTCTCTGGCACACCTAAAGGCTCTGTTCTGCAAAGCCACAGGCATGTCAGAGGCTCTAACACGAACATTGAGCTGGTCTTGTTGTTCTTGTTGCTCTATAGCTTTCTTCTTCTGTATCAAACTGCTCAAGAACTTGCTTCTTCTCTCTAACTCCACCTCTGCTCCTTCCATCACCTCATACCTCTCTCTCTCCCCAATACTTTTCTTCAAAGGTAAAAAGTTGAAGCTGTTTAAGAGAGAGAGAGGAGCAACGTACAAGAGTGTCGAATGAAATGTAGTGGCTACTTTGGCTTTCGTTTTCTTGGAGTTATTCTGGTTCTAAGTTATGCTTCTTTGTTTTCTTTTGATGCTTTACGTGTGTATTGGGTACGGCGCAGTGGACCAAAAAGTGTATTTTGTTGCCGGTAATGCGGTATCATCTTCTGGAAAAAATATTCTTTTGCATTGATGATAACCAATGATATTTAGATAAATAAATAATTCTCAATAACAACTAGTTTACGTACTTTTTTTTTTCACGTAAACCAATAACAATATTGCACAAAAAATTGTCTTTTCTAGGATAGATTACACAAAGACTCCGTGAACTTAAAATCAGTTGCACCCCCTCAAGTTTGACGAATTTCACTTAACTTCTCTTACTTGTGAATAAATTGTACACAAGAGCGTGTGTGTTATAAAATAAATGATTTTTTAAAAATTAAATTATTTATTTTATCCATCTAAAGTTGAGAATTGTAATGGGCAAAACATAAAATCCATAAATATCCACCGGCTGTCTCTGGCTCTCCAGTCCCTTTACCACTGGCAACTTTTCCACCTTGTCCCCTTCCCCTCCTCCTCTCCACCCTACGCCACAGCCGCTGCAACTCCTCCACCCAACCTACCTTTACTGCAACTAGCCCACCCAACCCTCCCCATGCTGCTACGACTCCCCTTCCAACCCAACCCACCCCCAACCGTTGCAGCCTCCACCCCGTCGTTGCAGATCTTCCACCACACTGCCGCTGCAACTCCCCCAAAATTGCCTCCACCTATATCCAGTGTCTTTACAATTCGGGTCGGAGGGCATCCGGCTGATTAGGTGTTGATTGGTGTTGGAGGGTAATACGGTGTCTATGCAATTTGTGTGTTTGAGCTATCAGTGGAGTGGGTTTGATTGGATTCAGTGGTGTCTGTGTAGGGGGTTTGATTGGTGGTGGTGGTGAGGGTTTGTTGGGTGTTCAGTAGTGGTGGTTTGTTTGTGTGGTCGGTGGTGGCTTTATGGTGATGGAGCTGGCGGTAGTGGTGGACTTTTTGCGAGTGGATTTATGGTGGTGGGGGTGGCTTTATGATGGTGTTTCTGTAATTGGGTTGTTTTTGTTTATAATCCAAATAATGACAAGCAGAGAAGAATGAGAGGGGGTTGCCTACAACCAAGTTTTTCTTTTTAATTTGATTAATATGAAGTTGTTTAATGGATGGTATCAAAAAAAAGAAATGAGGATATAACTTATGGATATAATTTGAGGATATAATAAGTTGTCACAATGATATGATAATGAATTTATTAATATTATAATGAGATCCATCATTAAATATATTTCCCTATCATATTATTGATTACAACTCATTATGTCTCTAAATTATGTCATTCAATTATGTCCCAATAGCATTAGTGAAAAAAAATTAGAACAAAATCAGAGGGTATTTTAGGCATTTTACAAACACTGTTAGTTCTGTTATAATTTGCAGTTTATTTACAAGTAGGAGGGGTTAAGTGTAACTCAAAAAAGTCTAGGGTGATAACGTGCCACTGACCTGAAGTTTGAAGGGGTCCTGTGTAATTTTCCTTTTTTTTTTAATTACTAGGTGTTCTGTACATATAAACCTGTGGAAAGAGGTAAATAGTAGGTTTTTTTATTTTTTTTTCCTGTAAAAGAGAAATACCTAGTTGAAAGGGTTAAAAAAGGCATCGGGTAATTATTTTAAAAAAATAAAATGATAATTTTGATATATTGACGAGACGTGGACAGACCAGACGGAGATCGACCACCGAGCCCCCTCGAACTCCTTTGGGATTACTTGCTTGACCCACAGGGGATATCTTGCCCAGGACCAGAACAGTAATGGTGATCTAATATGAGGGTCCATTAACAAGACGGACAGTAGAAACTGATTAGTTCCGTGGTCATATCCATGTGAGGACCCTCACCGAATCCAGTGAAGGCTTGTTAAAGGCATGATTGGTGTCTCGATCGAGAGGTGTCCCGGGGTGCGCCAGTTAATGGTTGGTATTCCTCAGTTAAATGCTCTAAATAACTCATTAAATGCTTGACAGAGGTCCTTGAATTCTTAGATAATGCTCATTAAATGTTCGATCTTTTTAATAAGATAATCATTGCGGCGTTTGACCTCAATTGATTGCAAGTCTTCCCTAGGTGTAATAAATGCGTGACTTGTGGGCGGGAGCAAACACAGTTTGATATGACCATCTGAACTTTAAATCATTATCTCTTAAAGTATAAATAGCTCAAAGAGTTGGGTCTCAAGCACAAACATATAACTCAACTTTTACTGTAGCACTCATATCCTTTCACTTGAGCAATGCCCGACTTAAACATATTTGATGCACACTTGACCTTTTTCTAACCTGGTTCCTTTTTTCAGAAATCCCAGATTAATTTCATCTAGATGTCGACAATGCTTACAAAGAACTAATCCATTGCATATACCATGAGTGATAGTGGTTGATTAGTGGAGTTAAAACAAAGTTATGAGTAATTGTTTAAAAAAAAATAAAATGTACTTTAAATATTNCCGAACTTTTTAATCATCATCTCTTAAAGTATAAATAGCTCAAAGAGTTGGGTCTCAAGTAAAAACATATAACTGTAGCACTCATATCCTTTCACTTGAGCAATGACCGACTTAAACATATTTGATGCACACTTGACCTTTTTCTAATCTGGTTCCTTTTTTCAGAAATCCCAGATTAATTTCATCTAGATGTCGACAATGCTTACAAAGAACTAATCCATTGCATATACCATGAGTGATAGTGGTTGATTAGTGGAGTTAAAACAAAGTTATGAGTAATTGTTTAAAAAAAAATAAAATGTACTTTAAATATTTTAGTAATGGACACCAAATTCATCCCCTACGATCCATTTATTAAATTTATAGACGCACAAATATGAAAGAAAATCAATAGAACTGAAACGCTAGAGGTTAATGAAGGGCCTAGTTATGGTATTAAAAAAAAAAAATATTTTGGTACTATATTTTTTATTTTTGTGTAATAAAACGTGATACATATAAATTTTTTATTTGATTATTTTATTTATCTATGTAATAAGAGAGTTAAATATTTAAATTTTATCCCTACATATTTTTCTCGCATNAGTTATGAGTAATTGTTTAAAAAAAAATAAAATGTACTTTAAATATTTTAGTAATGGACACCAAATTCATCCCCTACGATCCGTTTATTAAATTTATAGACGCACAAATATGAAAGAAAATCAATAGAACTGATACGCTAGAGGTTAATGAAGGGCCTAGTTATGGTATTAAAAAAAATATATTTTGATACTATATTTTTTATTTTTGTGTAATAAAACGTGATACATATAAATTTTTTATTTGATTATTTTATTTATCTATGTAATAAGAGAGTTAAATATTTAAATTTTATCCCTACATATTTTTCTCGCATATTTCTATCACAAGTTGAATCATTATACATGATAGTATACATATGTTGATATTTTTTTATAGTCATATATTTTTATATATTTTTTTTAAAATAATGAGTAAAAAATAATTTTAAAATATATAATTAAAGAAAGTGATTTCCAAAAATTATTATTTGATATAGTGAAATCAATTTTTTAGATACACGAATTTTATATTATATCGTATTAGTTATTATTGGTTTTATTAGATTTTAGAACTCACTAAAGCTTCCAAACATTGATCTTAATACATTTGATGGTCCAAAAATTGGGACCAAACTAAATTTCTAGTGATTCTAATTAAATAAGATCGATCATGATTTTTTGAACCTTTTTTTTTTTTGAACTGGTCCCGATCCTATATTTATTTACATTAAATTTCTGAACTAGTCCTGATCCTATATTTAGTTACATTAAATTGACATGTAATTTTATGAAATTAATTTTTAATTTTATTCAACTAACACTCAATTCATCACAAAATTAACATTAATTTAAAATTCATAAAATTAACATTAATTCATAAAAAAAAAAAATTCGGCTAGTCATGATCGATCCTATTTAATTGAAACCACTAGAAATTTAGTTTGATATAATTTTTGGATCATCAAATGCATTACCATCGATATCATATAGTCATGATCGATCCTAATTGAGTGGAATCACAAAAAAAAAAAAAAAATTGGCATTAGGATCAATTTTAATTAATCATGATTATTAAATGTAATGTTACTATTTGTAAAGATAAAATTATTACTCTTGAGATAAAGTTATCACCTTTAAAGGTGAGGTACAAACTCTTTAGGTAATATTACGACAACTGAAAGTAAAATTACTATTTTTAAAGGTGAGGTTATAAGCATTTGAGAGTAAATTAAATTTTATATAGGTAAAATTACCATATTTAGATATTGGATTAAAATTTTTTGATGTGAAGTTATAATTATTTATGATAAAATNTTTTTATATATTTTTTAAAAAAATAATGAGTAAAAAATAATTTTAAAATATATAATTAAAGAAAGTGACTTCCAAAAATTATTATTTGATATAGTGAAATCAATTTTTTAGATACATGAATTTTATATTATATCGTATTAGTTATTATTGGTTTTATTAGATTTTAGAACTCACTAAAGCTTCCAAAAATTGATCTTAATACATTTGATGGTCAAAAAATTGGGACCAAACTAAATTTCTAGTGATTCTAATTAAATAAGATCGATCATGATTTTTTGAACTTTTTTTTTTTGAACTGGTCCCGATCCTATATTTATTTACATTAAATTTCTGAACTAGTTCCGATCCTATATTTAGTTACATTAAATTGACATGTAATTTTATGAAATTAATTTTTAATTTTATTCAACTAACACTCAATTCATCACAAAATTAACATTAATTTAAAATTCATAAAATTAACATTAATTCATAAAAAAAAAAAATTCGGCTAGT